GACCCGGAGAACCGCGAAGGGATGTCCGAGGTTCGCTTGTTGTTGTAATAGATCACAGTGACAGGGGCAGTGCCAGGTGCCTTCTGCTGGTACCAGCCATAAACGTTACCATAGATGGTGCCACCCCCGGAGCAGGTGATCTGGACGGTTTCTCCCGGGTTGGCTGACACCGAGGCCGGCTGAGTCAGCGCTGCCTGGACCAGGGAACCTGGAGAGGGAGAGGACAGAAAAGACAAGATGAGGTTCAGCCAGTGCCCCTGGATCACAGACCTCCCTTGGGCAGCAGGACAGGGTCCCGGTTCCCAAAGCCCCCTCAGTAGATGCAGGACAGTGCCCAGCTGGACCGAGGTGTCTGCCCAGATGCTCCTTGACCCTGGTTCTGGGGATCACCACCTTAGCCGAGGCCTATGCCAAGGCAGGGTGGGAGCACTGCTCTACCCTGCCTCTCTGAAGCATCCTCGGCAACCACCTCCTCCCCGCCTGGCTCCTGGCATCCCCCAAACTCCCTCCCTTAGGGCACTCATCTGCAGCACAGCAGCTCCTCTGCCTGGGAACCGCTCCCTAGGGCTCCACTGCTCTGTAAGAGCTGACTCTGCTTGCAGCAGGCTGCTGCTGGGAGGCCACCCAGCCCATGGCCACCCCTTCTCCAGCACCACAGGTGCTGGCTCTGCTCAGCAGCACTCTGGGGCCAGGAGAAGCGCTCCGGCCTCTGCTACCTCACCAGCGGGACGGTGAACCCCAAGCCTGCCCAGCTCCACAGAGCCACGCGGATCTCTCCTCACCGCCCTTCCCTGAACCGCCTTTGCCCTCCTGTGCCGCCCCAAACTACGAGGGGGAGGTTTCTGCCAGAGTGGTTGGAGTCCTTCAGCATCTCTGACAGATCCCAAAATATTTCAGGGCTCTGTCTCAGGAAGGAAGCTGCGGTTTCCTTCCAGCTCCTAGAGCCCCTTCACCCCTCATTCCAGACTCCCCCTCACCTTTTATAAGCATAAGGAATCGGATGCAGGCACATGAAGACAGGGATTTATTATTCTAGCTTTGTTTAACAGAAGAGGCTCAATGCCAAGCTGCCCCCACCCTCTGTGACTCCCGTAGGCCAGGAGCACAGCAGCTCCTCTTCAGACACACGGTATTTTCCACAGCCTTCTTTCCTTTAAACCAGTACTTTCTTCTCCTCCAGGTTCTGGTCGGCAACCAAGACTAGCGGGTTTTTTTAGGAGCTCACCAGCAGTAAGTTCTTCTGGCTCCTTCCCAGAACAAGACGCTGCAGCAGCAGCACCCCCCCGTGGCCTGTCCCCAGTTGGGCTAAGATGGAAAGAGAAAGGGCGGCAGGAAGTCAAGACGCAGGTTTGAACAGGATTCAGTGCTTCTCGAACTCAAATCTCTCTACTTTCACGTCATCCCCAGTCAGCTGGTATACATAAGTCACAACTGTGGCGGCCTGGATATCCATCAGCACAAATGAAGGGACGATGTTCCTGGAAAGAAAACAGGCGTTGTTGATCTTCCCGATGAGCTCACGCTGCTTGTCCTGAACATAGCTGGTGCTCATGTGTTCTAACAGGCTTGGCTGCCACGGGCTGCAGGGATCTGGGGCTCACTGCAGCCGGCAGGCACTGACAGCAGGGTCCCAGGCAGGGTGGCACTGAGTCTAGACCAGCCCTCAGGCCACTCGACAGCCTCAGGCCCTCAGGCTCAGATGCTGAAGCTGACGGAGCCTCCAGCAGTGGGCTAGGGAAAACCCTGCCGAGAGGGGAGCCCCACTGCCTGTGTTCCCCAGGAAGGGACAGAGCTGGCCTCCCGCTCCTCCCAGCACCCCGCCAGCCTTTGCAGCAGGGTGGCCGGACAGCGCCGCCCATCACCCACGTTGTAGGCAAAGGCTGCAGACTCCGCTGCGCCGGGCAGCTCCCTGTCCCCTTCACTCACCTGTCTAAAGCGCTGTAGGCTCCTGTGGCTGTTCCTGGGTTGATGTAGAGTTTCTTTTCATGTTCAAATACTTCAGATTTGTGTGTATGTCCCGAGATGAGAATGTCCACATCCAGCTGCCTCTGCAGCAGTGCCAGGCTGGCCACATCGCCCCAGGGAATAACTTGATGACCGTTAATCAGCCCAATTCTGAACTGCCCGACAGTTACAACCTTCTCCTCAGGATAATTCAGGCTCTGAGAAAGACAAAGGCACAGCCTATAACTCAGCTTCAAGCCCCTCACCTACACAACGCAGGTTCACACATTTCAAGACATGAACCTGCCTTTTGCTACTCAAGTGCACAAGGTCTTCTTCAACGCCTGGCCTCGAGGGATGATTGTGCTGCACTCCTGCAAGTGCAGCCGCAGAGCTGGGAATCTGTGGCTATTCGGAGCCTCAAGGCTTCCCAACAGTAAACAAACACAGAGACACAGTGTCTCACCTCCTGCCTCCACACCGGCAGCTGAGGGGCTCCAGTGGTCTCACAGCAACCACAGACAGACTTGCGCCAGAGCTCCTATGAGTTAAGTGCATCTATTACCCCCCTCCCCTCCTAGTTCCCCCTCTTGCAAGCACAAGAAGGATCTAGAAAACAACTGTTTCTTCAGTCTTAGTCATTCCTACTTCCTCTGCGGGTGAATTGCAGTTTAGGAATTGCTAATGCTGAAGGACTCCCCGGGTTTCATTGAGACAACTACAAAGTGGGAAGGTGGGCTGAGGAATTCACAGCTCTGAGAACGTTACCTCGGAGTCCCCCCTGACCACGTGGATGTCCCCAGCCAGAGTCCTGAGGTAGTCATTGGTCTCCTTGGTGCAGAGGTTTCCTGTACACAAGATGTGCTGAATCCTCCCTGGAGCCAGCAGCTTCTTCAATTCCACGGGCAGACCGCTGCACCGGTGTGGGATGTGCAGGTCGCCTAACACCAGCACCAGCTTCGCATCGGGCAGGAGGAAGAGAGAGTTTTAACCCAGGTTATCGAACTGAGCGGCACGAACCCTTCGCGCCGCATCGG